TCAGAAAACCAACCCAAAACGAAGCAAAAACGAAAGTAAATTTAGAAAGAACAGGAACTACAGGAGATCAGAAACTACCGATTCAATGTTTCTGCTTTGTCTGGTGAAAAGAAAATCTCTATGAGGGGTTTTGTATTTAAATTTAATGAATGAAAAGTCAGGTGATCTCCATTCTCACTAAATTGAGAACATGCACATATTGAAAGAGTAGTATTTTGAATGTAGCCAAACGTTTCGCCAGTGCAGGGTACCTAATGCCCAGCCTAAGGATGCCCACTTGTTTTACTCTGCTTCTAAAGCCAAAAGGGAATTAACCAGAAACCTTCCTCGATATTTCACATACACTCTCTTTTCAGTAATAACAATTGTATCATAAATCTCACTCTAACGTATGAAATTTTAAAATTAGTAAGATCATAGTACTGTGTCTCTTAAACTGTAAAATTATTCAAGAAGTAAAATTAATTCAATGTCTTTTCTTCTAACTTTTTACTTTGGTTGATTTAATAGTACTGTAATTTCATCGGTATTGTAGCCCAATTCATTTAATAATCAATTTATGATTCTCTTAAATTTTATGTAGTTTAAAGGAAAAGGAATTCATGAAGTTTCTTTCCCTGGAATGTTTCTTACCGAACTGGCAGCAATGGCTGTAGGACTATGGTGTTTCAGCTACTTATTTTAGCAAAAAACACAGTTCCCCTTCACGCAGTTTTTTGAAAGAGAAGACATCCATCTGAATATAAATATATGTAACTAAAAATCATTAAACTGTAAGTATTTAAGCTCCTCTTCAGCTGCTGAGGAGGAACATATGTTCATTGGCAATGAACTTTGTTTCTTGGTAGGGTGAAGCCTGGAGATGAAGAATCGGAAAAGCCAGGGGACAAAGCAGCATGAGTGATTAGAAAAGCAAGGGAAATGTAGAGGACAGCAGTATTCTCAAACTTTCATGTCCATCAGGTCCACCTGGGAATCTAAGGGAATCATAACTGATTACAAAATGAATGTTAAAACACATATTACTTGGCTCCCTCTGCTATCAGAATTTTTTTTCAGTAGGTCTAAGGCAAGACTTAATTATGTGCACTTCTAACAGGTTCCCAGGTGATGCTAATGCTGTGGTACAGGGGCCACACTTTAAGAACTACTGTTATAAAAAATATTTAGGAAATTTTGCTTTGGGTTGTATGGTATATCTTTCTAAATGACCAAGTGTATTAGTCCTCTTCCACACTGCTATAAAGAACTGCTGGAGACTAGGTAATTAATAAAGGAAAGAGGTTTAACTGACTCACAGTTCAGCATGGCTGGGGAGGCCTAGGAAACTTACAATCATGGTTGAAGGTGAAGAGAAGCAAGGCACCTTCTTTACAAGATGGCAGGAAGGAGAATGAATGCAGGAGGAACTATTAAACACTTGTAATATCATCAGATGAGAACTCACTCACTATCATGAGAACAGCATGGGGGAAACTGCCCCAAGGATTCAATTACCTCCCTCTGGTCTCTCCGTTGATACATGGGGATCATGGAGATTATGGGGATTATAATTCAAGGTGAGATTTTGGGTTGGGGCACAGCCAAACCATATCACCAACCATCTCTCTTTGTCTGAGACTACAGAATTTACCTGGCCTGAGGCTTTCAAGGGTAAAACTGGAAAGTCTGTCACAAATCAGAAAGATTTGTTCTATGAAAGCTATCAGAATCAAAATGGGGCCACTTGCATAAAAACCCTGAAAAATGGAGCTAAGGAAGATCAGAAAGGGAGGGTTTATATTCATGTATGCCTGATAACAAGAACTACAACAAAAGACTGCACAAATCACAACTTTGCACAAAGGCCGCCATAATCTCACAAAAAATTACTTCTGCAAGGACATTTGCCCAGCAACTGCCTGTGCAACCTCAAACTGGTGCCGCCCTTGTTACCAGTCCTTATAACCAAGGATAATTGTCTAGTAACCTTCTTCATTTCTCTTTTAAAATCCCTTGTCTTCTTTTACCTCCCTATGTTCATTGTATTCTTACTCTAATGCTCAACCCCAAATAAATATTATTGTCTTTTAGAAGAGTCTCTCTGTGTGTGTGTTACTTACGTTTAACCAGCCCCCTACACAATGTCTTCAAGACATTTTCAGTAGAGCTAAAATACTTGCTAATGCTTTTGTACTAAACTGTGTGTATTTTTTTAATTGATTCATTAATTTTAAAATTTAGATTTTAGATTGATATGTTAAGATTGACCTCAAGGGTAGAGTTGCATTTTAGAGGTTATCATCTGTGATTTTGGCCTAGGGTGCAGTACTCTGCTGTAGCTAGAACGAACGAATTGTCACCTAGAAATGAGTAAACCATCACTATGATTAGCAAGTGGCCAGTGTTTTCATTCAGCTACAAGTGAAAAGGGGTGCAATAAGAGGCAGCATGTTTTGTGGACTAATACTTCAAAGTTATTACAGTTACGGTCTTTGGGGAAATTCACTGTTCAGATACGGCTGTTTCAAACAGTTAAGTATATGCAATGTTATGTGAGTTCATCAAATTAAGAATGTCTTAATTGATCAAAGTAAGTTAGGTTATACAGGAGAAATGAAGTCAAAATCTTAATGGCTTATAAACCAAAAAAGATTTATTTCTTGCTAAAACCACCTATCCTTAGAACCCCAACAGAAATTGCCCATTTTTCTGCCATAACTTATCATAATTCAAGTAGCACAAATAAATAGTTGATGTTCAATGATAATGGGATTGCTCATCCTAATGACTCTTTTTCACAAAATAAATATCTACGGAAAATGGGATTTGGAATTCTGAATGGAAAATATAAGTTGAAATTAATGCTGAGCTAGTTTTAAATGATAAGTCTAATAAAATGTAATCTATTTCATTAAAACCGCAGAGGTAGCTATTTTAATAGGTCTTGATTTAGGAGCAGAGCTTTGGAAAGCATTTCAAAATTATCAAAGATGTCGTAATCTAAGAGTAGAAAAGCGACAACAACTTCATTGATTTGCCGATAGTAAAGGTAATTCACTAACAAATGAGTGAAGTACGCTACGAAGAACTCTACTGGGCCCATGGAGCTTCTTAGAATTCTTAGGTAATATGTTTTACATCAATGGTTTCCAAATATGAAGATTATTATTCAGTGATTTGAGATGGCACTCTAGAATCTAGTTTTTCACAATGATCCCCCAGCAAATTTTCATGTAATTAGTCTGTAAGATCAACTTTTTTTTAAAAAGATGAAACTCATATTTCAACTTGGTGTATGGAAACAGAGGAGAGTGGAATGTAAATGTAAAGTTATTGGGACCAGTGAAACATTCAGTACAGTATGCATTGTAGATTATTTTAAACTATAAGGCTATGAAGTTATTGTATTACTCTTGGTCTGATGTTCTAATTCCTACACTTGATTGTGACACAAATTTTTTATGTAATTTTAAGTAAATCCTTCATTTTTTTTTTAAAAAAAAGCTTCTTTTACAAAATGAATTCAAGTAGATTATTAACAAAGATCCCTAGCAATTCTAAAACTCCATATTTCCTTGAAACTTTCCGTTTTATATTAAGGGATGTCTGCAGCATGTATAGGAGTCAAATGTTTAACATAAACTATTGGTGGCAATTGTTATGAAGAAAAATGGATAGCATAAATGTCTAGTCTTATTATACTCCCTTTAAAAACTACCCACTTTTCTAGGGTGGGTCAGTAAGCTACAGAGTGTATATATAACACGATTTAGCAGGTCAACAGGTCAGGGGCTAATTACTTGTAGATCACATCAACCTCTTGAAGACCGAATCATCTGGAGATGTGTTACAAGTGACTTCAACAGTAAGTACAGCATGGACTCAATAATAAAATGGGAGATAATGGTTAAAACAAAGCAAAGCATCACATCAGAGTAGGATCCTGACATGATTTTATTCCAGTAATGTAAATGTTCCCATCCTAGCCCTCATTCACCACTACCTCCTCTTATCATTGAGGAAACAGGCAGAGACAGAATGGAAAGGCAGTCAGCTTAATTTAAGAAACTTCCTTAAGTTCAGAAAGACTGAATTAGTTTTGACCCAGAAAAAGAGCTCAATTGAGAACTCTGAGGTTAGCAACCTTAAATCCTGACTCAATTCTGATATATTCCTGCCAAAGGCAACGTGACTGAGGTTACCTGAGAGACAGTTTTTCTGCAAAACGTGGCCAACCATGCTCAAGACAAAATTACAATACATAATTTATCTTTGGCATTCTTCAAATTATTTACCTCATCTCCTGCCCCCAACACTTAATCCCAGAATACAGGAATTTGATGATGTCTATATAGCCTATAAAAGTCCACAAATTGAAGTGCCTACTGTGTGAAAGCCATTGGGGGACTACAAACATAAACGATGTATAATCCCACTAAGATGTTCACGCTTATGATTTAGTAGGAAAAACAGAACACTGCCTTACAGATATTGCAGGCACAGAGAATTCTAAAACATCCCAAATTCTTATATATATATATATATATATATATATATATATATTTTTTTTTTTTTTTTCTCCCAAATCCCACAGGGTACTGAGATATGGCCATGAGAGTGCCTTAGGAATGTCAGTTTAACTAAATCCTGTGAGGGCATCCACATTTTGAAAGAGTTCTCTTTTAACCTAAACAAACAAACGAACAAACACTCCTCTCACTTAAGTTCATTCGGCATTGACGGGTCTCTGGTTCTTCAAGTTTTCATCTGAAAGTCTCAGTCTTTGCTATCACAACCAACGCCCCCTTCCTACACTCCAAAGTTGATGGAATGAAAAGTCGTGGAATTGAAGGTTTAATAAAAAGAACAGAAGTAACGGGGGGAAAAAATGTGTAAATTTTAGGGCTTGGAATTGGAGACGTGGGGAAACGTCGCCACCTTCTGGTAAGTGATGGAAATGAGCAGGAAAAAAGATCCAAGCTGAGAATCGGCTTTTTTTTTTTTTTTTCCAAGGCAGCAAGTCACGCACCCCCTTAGGCAAATTCCGAGACCCGCCCTTTCCGGAAGTTTTAACACTCTGTGCGCCCGGGCAATGTGATTGACAGGGTAATCATCCGGTCCGTTATCTAAACCCGTCACTCCGGGAAACAGCAACCCGATCTTTCCGGATCCGCGCTTTCCCAGCATCCTTTGCCTTCCGGTATGTGGCCCAGTCTGGCTCGTCCGGTCTAGCGCGCCCATTTCGAGCCCAAGTTTCCAGCTCGGGTTTCCGGGCTCAGAAGTTTCCAGGAGTGGGTTCTTCGGCAGCGGCTGTGGGAGCAGGAATGGCGCAGCTAGAGGGTTACTATTTCTCGGCTGCCTTGAGCTGTACTTTTTTAGTGTCTTGCCTCCTCTTCTCCGCCTTCAGCCGGGCGCTGCGAGAGCCCTACATGGATGAGATCTTCCACCTGCCTCAGGCGCAACGCTACTGTGAGGGCCATTTCTCCCTTTCCCAGGTGGGGTCTCCAACCTGTCTCCACCCCAGGAGAGGCCTGAGAGGTCCCAGCGTCCCCAGCTCCTTCTCCCATCCTTAGACTTAACTCGTCCGGTTCCACCCCACCAGCCCCAGAACATGAAAGAAACTGGGTGTAGAATTTTGTTCCTGTCTCTGAAATCTGTGAGATATTTATTAAATGAATAAATAAACAGTAGATCTGTCTCCCAGGAAGGAATGATCTGGGAGAATACTTAATGGGGAACTGAGCGCTCCTGTTGACAGCTGACGATGTCTATCCCACTTTGTCTTTCCTTGTCTGGGGAGTAAAGGCATTGCGGTGCTCCTTGGAAATACCAGAAAACTTACCTTTAGCTCACCTGTCAAGCACCTCACTATGCATTTTAGGGGTGGGATAGTATGGACTGGAGGGATCTTCAGCTACCAAAAAGTGACCATTTATAATCAGAAATTCCTTCCCTGAGTATTTTTAGTGAACTATCTGTTAACTGGATAAACTGGCAACCAGTCCAGTCACATCATTTTTGAATATATATTTGACTGTGCAAGTATGTACATATAAATATCAAAATAAACATCGCCTGCTTTTCTGGTGACACAATATAGGGTACTGCCTAGAAATATAAAGTCTGTTTTAGAGAAAGATCTGATCTTAAATCATGGTGCTGTGATTTACTACTTTTGTGATCTTGGAGATGTTCTGAGTTTCAGAAATTCAGGTTACCTATCTGGAAAATGACAGTAATCTTTACTATAAGGCATATTGTAACATTAATACAGAGGGTTTGGCACAATTTCTGTCTCCGTTTATGTTAGCTGTCATCATGGAGCCTGTGGACCAAATGTTTTCCTAAACTTAGAGTCCCAACCAGTGTTTCCATGCTTTTAAAAACTGGAGCATTTGCAGCTTATTTACCAAAATAAAGACTTTTTAAAGAACATTTCTTGGAAAATAGAAATAGATTTTAAGTTGTTGTTGTCTGTTGGTTGCTGCTATCTGAACAATCACTAAGCTGGTCCGGGGGCAAAAAATAAGAAAAACGAATCCTGTTTTGCCAAGGACTTACTTAATCTTGTCAGAATAACTTCTCAAAATTTCTGATTGTTGCTGGAGATGAGACGTGGGCTTGACATGTTTGTGTCTGTCTTGTTCGTATTACCTCTTGCTTTTACTTCTTTTCCTTTCATTTTAAAGTGGGATCCCATGATTACTACATTACCTGGCTTGTACCTGGTGTCAGTTGGAGTGGTCAAACCTGCCATTTGGATCTTTGGATGGTCCGAACATGTTGTCTGCTCCATTGGGATGCTCAGATTTGTTAATCTTCTCTTCAGTGTTGGCAACTTCTATTTACTATATTTGCTTTTCCGCAAGGTACAACCCAGAAACAAGGTATGTTTCAAAATACTTAATTACAAGTTTATGTGTAATCAGGTCCACAATTACAATGAATTAGTTTTATGAGATTTGGTGAAAAATGTCTTTAACACTTTGTAACTTTGTATTTTTGTATATTATGTAAAGGTAAACATAAATCCTCTGTCTCCATTTTAGAATAAATTTGTATTTAAACACTTGAATAGCTTATTTGTAAAATCTAAAGTAAATATTTGTTAAGTGAGTCAAACCAGTTCAATAAGTACTCACTAAGCTTATTCCATGTGCTAGGCACTGGGACAACAGAGATAAATGAGGCAGTCTTTTTCTTGTAAAACGTATATATTCATTAGGGAAAACACCCTTTACCTGAGGACTTTTGATGTGATAACAGTGCAGGCCCTGGAGGTAGATTGCCTGGGTTAGAATTCTCTCCCTGCCACTTAGCAGTTTTGTTACCACCATGGGCAGGTTAACGCTTAGTGGCTCCATATCTTCATCTATTAAATAAGAATAATAATAGAATCTGCCTTTTAGAACTGTTATAAAGGAACAAAGAAACTTAATAAATGGAAGATGCTTCAAATAGTGCCAGATACATAGTAAGGGCTCAGTAAATATTAACTCTAATGATTATTTTTAACCATAAGAGATGATTTTAGTAGTGCCAATTATGATAGAGTGGTACAAATAAGATGCTATGAGGATACAGAGAAGGAGCAGGGGAACACTTATTGCTTTTCTGGGAGGGAGGGGACTAGGTGGCATTCAGTAAGTCCACACAGAGAAGATGGTACCAGAGCTGAGTCTTGATGAACAGATAGGGCTGTAGGGTGGGGAATTAATCCTGAGGAGACAAACAGCATAAGCAAAGGAAGAAAGGCATTGATTGAACAATGAGGTGTAGGGAATTGGTCTTGGAATTACAGGATTAGAAAGTAGAGGGATGTAATACTAGAGAAAAAGGTCATGAATGCCTTTATATGTCACCGAGAGGACTTTGAACTTAAGCATGTAATGGAGAGACTTTAATTTTAGTCAAGGAAATGGCATGATCTGATTTGGTGATTTTGATTAAGTAGAGTATACAATTCAAGAACATAAGAACACTTTCAAATTCTGAAATAGCATGTCAGAAAGGCCAAAAGAGGATATAGAACTTTAGACTGGCTCACTTTTCAGAAAAATACCTGTTATTTCATCATGAAAATTTCATCTTGAAAAAGTAAGTTTGGGTATAGTAGTGAAAATACCATATGCATGTTTACATTCTCCCTTGTGTAGAGTTATGAAGGATTTCCTTAAAGGAAAGTGGTGATTATGGCTAAGTGAATCCTTATTGAAGGCACTAAAACATAAGCTCAGGGAAATGGAGCCAGCACTGTGTCCTGTTTAATCTCCATAGTCCCCATAGAACTTAGTCGGTATCTTGCACTCAGTAACTCCTTAATTAATCATTGCCTGATTCAAAATGTGTTAAGCTACAGAAGCTTTGGCACACACATGTTCTCCAAACTGATAGGTATACATAGAAAGTACCAGAAAGTATTCTTATAAATGTATATTGTGTTTTTGCAAAGCCAGAGATAAGATTAATATTAATTTTATTTAAATAAGGTTTGAGTAGTTGAGTAGTTTTTAAATAAATCTCTTCATTAGGTAAACAGAAATAGCATTTTTTATCATGAAAATAATTTTGTCTGTGTTTTTTCTTCCTCCAAGGCTGCCTCAAGTATCCAGAGAGTCTTGTCAACATTAACACTAGCAGTATTTCCAACACTTTATTTTTTTAACTTCCTTTATTATACAGAAGCAGGATCTATGTTTTTTACTCTTTTTGCGTATTTGATGTGTCTTTATGGAAATCATAAAACTTCAGCCTTCCTTGGATTTTGTGGCTTCATGTTTCGGCAAACGAATATCATCTGGGCTGTCTTCTGTGCAGGAAATGTCATTGCACAAAAGTTAACTGAGGCTTGGAAAACTGAGCTACAAAAGAAGGAAGACAGACTTCCACCTATTAAAGGACCATTTGCAACATTCAGAAAAATTCTTCAGTTTCTTTTGGCTTATTCCATGTCCTTTAAAAACTTGAGTGTGCTTTTCCGTCTGACTTGGCCCTACATCCTTCTGGGATTTCTGTTTTGTGCTTTTGTAGTAGTTAATGGTGGAATTGTTATTGGCGATCGGAGTAGTCATGAAGCCTGTCTTCATTTTCCTCAACTATTCTACTTTTTTTCATTCACTCTCTTCTTTTCCTTTCCTCATCTCCTGTCTCCTGGCAAAATTAAGACATTTCTTTCCTTAGTTTGGAAACGTAGAATTCTGTTTTTTGTGGTTACCTTAGTCTCTGTGTTTTTAGTTTGGAAATTCACGTATGCTCATAAATACTTGCTAGCAGACAATAGACATTATACTTTCTATGTGTGGAAAAGAGTTTTTCAAAGATACGAAATTGTGAAATATTTGTTAGTTCCAGCCTATATATTTGCTGGTTGGAGTATAGCTGACTCATTGAAATCAAAGTCAGTTTTTTGGAATTTAATGTTTTTCATATGCTTGTTCATTGTTATAGTTCCTCAGAAACTGCTGGAATTTCGTTACTTCATTTTACCTTATGTCATTTATAGGCTTAACATACCTCTGCCTCCCACATCCAGACTCGTTTGTGAACTGAGTTGCTATGCAATTGTTAATTTCATAACTTTTTACCTCTTTCTGAACAAGACTTTTCAGTGGCCAAACAGTCAGGACATTCAAAGGTTTATGTGGTAATATCAGTGATATTTTGAACTGTAAAAATGGACTTAATAATTAGACCATTTCTACAAAGAACAACTGAATAGGTAGAAATCATGGAATTTCTTTTAGGTGCAGTGGTGGTCCTCAAATTACATTAGTGTGTGTGTATATATATATATATATATATATATATGTAAAAATATGTAAGAAATCAAGTGGCAAAGAACTGAGAAAGCTTAAGACCTGCTTCAAAAGCCTGAATAATGGGAAAATTGTTTTCAGATATCTCATATTGCTTTCATAATGTTGGCCCCTCAAGAAGCTTGGGAATGTTTTGTATGTACAAGTTTATTAAAACTGGGTATGCTTCATATTACTGGAACTAATTTATTCTCTTCAGAGAGAAATATTAGGTTAGTACAAAAGTAATTGTGGTTTTGCCATTACTTTCAGTGGCAAAAACCACAATTACTTTTGCACCAACCTAATAACAATGTATTAGCAAATATTTACAAATGGTCAGGTGATATTCTTGATTGAAAAGTTGCTTAACATTTCAGTAAATATAATTTTAATTCTAAGTCAAAATAGAAATACATAAATAGTAAATGATAAAGTAGAGACTCATATATGTCTGTCTAGGCATCAAATTGTTGGTTATTGTTTACAATCTAGAAATGATGAAGCTCTTTGACTAATTCCTAATATGAAATGTATGATGGCCAAAGACAAATTTTGTTGATTATAATCCTTTAAAAGAGGGATTTCCTTTCTGAAATACATATTATATTAGCTTCCCAGGGCTGCCATAACAAATGACCACAAACTTGGTTGCTTACAACAATTTTCCTCACAGTCTGGAGGCCAGAAATCTAAAATCAGAGTGTCAGCAGAGTTGGTTCCTTCTGGAGGCTCTAAGGAAGACTCCGTTCCATGTCTGTTTCCTAATATCTTGTGGCTGTCTGAAATTCTTGGAGTTCTTTGGCTTATAGACAAATCTTGTCCAAGTATTGCAGACAGCAGTCTTCACTCCAGTCTCTGCCTCTGTGCTCACACAGCCTTTCCCTCTGTTTTCTCTTCATTACCTTTTGAGGACAGTGTCTTTGAATGTAGGGCCCACCCTGATCTACAATGATTGTGTCTGGAGCCCCTTAATTATGTTTACAAAGACCCATGTTCCAAGTAAGTTCTTATTCACATGTTCTGAGTAGACATGTCTCTTCCTGGGATACTTTTCAGTCCATGACAGTTACTAAAGGACATTTTAGGATAATCCTCATAATGATTGTTAGGAGACTACCTTTTTAAATTTTTTTTTTGTTATATATCAAATTATAGTTGTATACACTTATGAGGCACAAAGTGGCGTTATGATTTTTGAATATAATGTGGGATGAGTAAATAAAGCTAATATTTGACATATTTTGTGATGAAAACATTTGAAATTTACTCTCAACAGTATTGAAATGTACAGTGCTTAATTATTAGCTGTATTCACCATGTTGTATAATAGATCTTAAAAAAGTCAAACATATTCCTTCTGTCTAATTGAGGCTTTGTATCTTTTGATTATAATCTCCCCATTCCCACATCCCTGGCCTCTAGTACCCATCATTCTTCTCTCTACTTCTTTGAGTTTCGTTGTTTTAGATTACACAAATAAGTGAGATCATGTGGCATTTGTGTTTCTGTGCTTGGCTTACTTCACTTACCATAATGTCCTCCAGGTTCATCCATATTGTTGCAAATGACACAATTTCTACCTTTTTAAAGGCTGAATAGTATTTTATTGTGTATATATGCCATATTTTCTTTATCCATTCATTCACTAATGAACACTTAAGTTTGATTGAATAACTTGGTTATTGTGACTTGTCTGCAATGAACGTGGAGTGCAGACTTCTCTTTGACATACAGATTTCAAATCTTCTGGATAAATGCCCAGAAGTGGGATTGTTGGATCAAGAGATAGTATCTTACCTTTTAAATAACTCTCAGTATCTTTACTGAGAGGTTAAAAAATAAGTGACTTCTGAGGTAATATACAGCTAAAGGTGACTAGTGTTTGATTCCATTATCTATTAAAAAAAAAAAAGTCAGCATTGAAAAAGGTGCTATTTTCAACTATTTATTATTTTAAAATAAGAATGCTTATCAATACTTTTGAATTTAAGATAAATGTCTTGGTTAAATTTTCTAGGCAGTTCAAAGATGGCCATTTGCTGGTGAATTTTCCAAAGTAGGTAACAGATAAAATGATTATATAAGAACTTGGCACAACAGACCATTTTGCCTTTAGTTGTTCAAGAAATGATACCAAACTCAAAGTCATTCACTTGAAACAATTGACAAGACCATTCTTAAGTGTTTAGATCCTTGCTTTTAGAAACATTCTTAGTTATATTTGTGTTTTCAAGAGTTATTGAGTAGATTTTTTTTCATGAATTTTTAAACATTAGACTTAGCTGAATTGGTTAAAATCAGGTGATTATGAAAAAAAGTACTGCCCTGCTCAAGGGTATGTGGAGCCCTACAGTTAACCATTACGAAAATCTGTGAGTATGTCTATTTTGAAAAGTGTTGTAAGAAGATCTAGTCCATAAATCATTATAGGTTCAGTAATACATCATTTTGAACTGATTCTATCATCTGTGAAATTCTAGAGATATGTTATCTTTAGGTAGCATTAGTAAGATTCAGGTATGCTGTGAATTTTGTTACGTTTATGTTTTCCATTAATGGATAGTCAGAAATCTTTTGAACTGCGTCTGACTGTATTTAAATGTTTGGAAAGATAGTGTGTCTCAGTTTAAACATAGCATCTCATTTTGGCAAGATAAATTATTTTAGCTGTGTTGCCTTTTCTTTGTCTTCTTAGAGTTATTTCTGAAATGTGCATAGCCAGTCATAAAATACCTTTTATAAATAGCCTAATGTAATTTATTTATAATAAATACATGGCTTAATGAAATGCATTTCTAGTTTGAACTTAATTGCCACTTGGCTTGATATTATTTTCCTTAGAATTGTTGGAAGAGAGGAGAGAGGAAAGGATCTACCATTTTTATTTATACCACCTAAATAGTGGACTGTTATTTTAGACTCACTTTTAAATAAAATATTTATTCATATGAAGAAATACATTTTGTGTTTATTAATTAGCAAGCATTTATTATCTTTGAAGTAATTGGAATTTCATTAAAAAGTGAGGCAAGTAAGAATTGTGATATAAATTTGAAAAATTTTAAATGGAAATTTAAATATGACTTAGGATCCAATGGGCTTGTAGAAAAAAACATTTAACATGGGGGTTAAGATTTTTATATTTGGTTGTGGCTCTGGTATCAATAAGGCAAGTGGTTTAGTCTTTAGTCCTCATTTCAGATGACAATAGTATTTGTCCTACCTCTAGTCAGTGTCTGATTGGTATGTATATAACCTTATATTAAAAAGGATTCATCCTGCCATATACTCATAATATGTCATATGATAAATATTGAGTAGATATATACTGAATGAAGTTTTTAGTATAGAGTGAAGTGAATAGAAAAAATATCATATATAACCATGGCTAATTTTAGGAAGTAAATAGTGTTTCATAATAAGAGTCATCCTAAACATTTTTCTGCATAATTTTCTGACCCAGTGTTAAAAATTTTTATTTGCTTTAGTGCAAGCTTGTTCAACCCACAGGCCACATGCAGCCCAGGACGTTTTTGAAGGCGGCCCCAACACAAATTTGTAAACTTTCTTAAAACATAATGAGATTTTATGTGATTTTTTTTTTTTTTAATAGCTCATCAGCTATCATTAGTGTTGGTGTATTTTATGTGTGGCCCAAGACAGTTCTTCCAGTGTAGCCCAGGGAAGCCACAAGATTGGAGACCCTTGCTAGCGTTTAATGCTTATACATGTATTTACTTGTAAATATGTTGTTTCTTTGATAGGATATGATTTCAACATAATTACTGTTTATTTAAAATAAGAAAAATAAATAACTTTCAACCATTAAGAGGTTATAAGACCTTAAAGGGAAAGTTTCTTTAATAGGGTATAATTTCAAAATAATTGCTTTTTATTTAAGAAAAATCAGTAACCTTCAACCAATAACAGGTTAGAGAATTTAAAGGTAAAAGACATTTCAACTAATTACAAATACTTTGTTTTTTTTAGTTGGGCAACATTCTACCACTCTAGGAATAGCTGTTAATTATTTTTTATATAGGTTATTTTTGTGTATTTAATGTTGACAACTGACGTTTCCAATATATAAAAACTTGTGTAACTGAGAAAATTATAATGAAAATAGAGATTGAGGATATATTTTTAATGTATATCCATGAGTCAACACTAATATTTAATATTTGAGATTTGAAAAATTAGGGTGAGAAATTTTGTCACAATATAATATCTGTATATTGTGCTTTTTTAAGAGAAATTTTTGATGAATTTAATGTTAATTAAATTTTATCTCAGCCTATCACCATCAGACCAAAAGAAGATACAGTATTTTTCTAACAAGGAAAAGAAAATACATACATATGTATTTTTATATACAAATGTATATGTGTGTATATACATATAATTTCTTTTTTTTTAATAAGAATCGAGACAGGGTGTCACTATGATGTGTGGGCTGGTCTCGAACACCTACCTCAAGTGATCCTCCCACCTTGGCCTCCCAAAGTGCTAGAATTCACCATGAGCCACTGTGCCAGTTTCCAACAAGAAAAATATTAAATGTATTGGTTTTTCACAGTGAAACTTAATTCAGCTTAGGTGAACCATATATGTGTGTGTATGGCATATACAAGATGAAAAAGGGAGGAAAAGTAATAACAATGGTTGCCATCAATCATTGAACACCTGTAATGTTTTAGGCATTATACTAGCTGACTTACAAATATTGTCTCATTTGATGCTACGTTTATATTTCTATGAGGTAGATATTGATTTCTATTTGACTGCTGAAGAAACTGAAGGGCAGGCAGGTCAGGTGATTTGCCCAAAGTCCACACTGTCACTAAATGAATATAGATTGGTATGACTCCCAAGCCTGTGAGTTTTTGACCATCATATTCTGCCTCACTATGAGAAGTTTTTTTTAACTAATTTTTTTAATTAAACGAAGCAGTGTATGGAGAGAGAGGTGATAATCCATGTTTGCTCTCTGCAGTTTCCAGACCATTCATGGCTTATTTTTATACTGGATATAGTCATTTTTTAAAATGCTACAAACTATTCAGAAGAGCATGAACAACATGATAACTCCTTATAATTTTGTTGTAAGAAAAATGGCTAAAAGTATGTGGGATGTTTAATTTGGATAAGTGAAGATTCTATCACTTGATAAGCTCTCTTGAAGAGTCATTATTTGAAAGATTGAACTTAATTCTGTATTGCCTGAACTGTAAATCAGAGGTCAACAATTAGATTGCAAATCATGAAAAGCATACCTTTTCTAATTGTTCAGTGTTTTTAGGAAAACAAGTAAAAAAAAGTAAAATTCTCATTCATTGGAGATAAGATTTTTATTTATTAAAGATGCTTCAGGAGAGTTAGATAGCAAGTAGGTAAAATGTCTTTTAAAGATATCTGACATCTTTAAGGCTCTGTGATTTTTAAATTCTTAACTTTGTTACAGCTAATTTTTAAAAATTAATTGCTGTGTCATGGTCAAGTATTTCTGATGACTTATTGCTGTCTTTGGTATATTTTAAGTTTCTAAACCAAAACTATTTATATTACCCTGTTTTACAAAAACATTTGAGTTATACAACTTAGTAAAAGGTATTTTAGCGATGATGTTTTGGAGCACAGGTAATATAGTATTTAACTTATTTTCTATTTTTTATCCCTCTACATTAGTGAAAGTAATGTACTTCTATTTGAAAAGCTTTCCCCTAGTGATTAAAAAAAAAAAAAAAAAAAGGCTGCGCACTATCTGTAAAAATTTTTAAGGTGGTGTCCACTAGGTGGAGATATTGTGCTACATTTCCAAATGTAATTAAACTTTTATTCATCTGAATTAAACTCTTTTATACTGTTTTGTTGTATTTAACCACAAAGATTTATAATCATTTATATCTATTTATCATAATGTTATTCAGATGTTTCCTGAGTTGTATGAAGCTAAGGTAAATGTAAAAAAAAAAACCCTCACTTTTGTGTTTTGTAATCACATATTAGATGATTTAACCTAATATATCTTCCCATATGATATGATCTTTTCATGTGGCATACTTCATTCATATGACATAGTCAGAATCTTTTCCCACAAACAATGAGTGATGATGTCTCATTTGAAAACTCGTGTAACATTGTATGAGCCACTGTTTTAAAGTGATGTACCCATGCTAGTCTCATAACAACTCTATGAGATCAGTAGTGTACACATGGGGAAACTTAGTAGAGAGAGGTGAAGTATTTTTTCCAAGATTACAAAATAACTGTCTGAGCTGGGATTCATAACCAGGCAGCCTGACTCCAAAATCAATATTCTTAACTCTATTGATATGAAGGAGAAAGGCATGAGGTCTACCTTCAAATTCATGGCATTTTAGAAAGAAAAATTGTCACAAATAATGTGATTATACTTCCTAGTTTTATAGGTCAGGAAAATGAAGTCCACAGTAATTTTGCCTCTTCCACAGGGAGACAGACTCTCATCTACCATTGTGTCTTCTGTTTCTGTTTTTGTCATCATCCCTCAAATTGATATATGTTGTAAATACGAATTTAAGGAAGTAAAAAACAAAATAACTCAGGGCTGGAGCCTTCAGCCATATTAATATACATTGACATAAAGACCTTTGTTTTAATAAGAATGATTCCAGTTACCAAACGGAGAAGTAGTTGTTTGAAAATTAATATTTAGCTTCTCAAAAGAGACTCCTATTTGGAAGCAAATTGTTGGTTAAACGTGACATACTTTAGATTTTTGAAAAATTCTCGGTTGAATAACAACAATTTCATTTTTAAGAATGTATGAATATGTGTTTCATATGCTTTTAAGTTATATATTTTATTAGATACTGTTCTCTAAAATGGAAATGTTTATTTGACTTCTAAAAGTCATTTGTGAGTTCATGCTGTGTAAAACTGCTTTTCTGCTTTTATTCTTTATAAAAAAGTTTGTTCAAATAGCATGTTTTTATTTCGTTTGTAAATAAATTCATGTTTGATAATGTTTTATAATGTATTGTATCTATTTAACACATTTTCTTATCCTAAACCAAGTGTTAAAAGCTTTGTATTTCCCTCACACTGTCCTGTTAGCCATTTTCCCCTGCCTATCACATCCCTAATCCTAAGCTTTATTAGTCATTTTAAAATAGAACCACATCTTTTTAAATACCTGTGCTATGTGCTCATAACTAGCCTGGGTGTCTGTATAATCTTCCTTTTATTCTCATAATAATAGAAAGCAGTTAAATTACTGGCTGATCACCTTGAACTTGTGGGGGTTGGGTTTCTTTGTTAGGCTAGGTCTGTAGGAAGCTAAGAGTATTTACCAAACACATCTAACTTGGCAGGGTTCAAGCCCCAGTCTTTGGGTCTTGTGGTGAAAAAAAGAAAGTGGTCTCTGTGTTCGCAGACTCCCAGCTCTTACCTTCCATTGGGTGTCTTAGAGTTTCTCCCATCATATGCAGCTCGGAGGTCAACCCAGGACTTATACACAGATTTTAGAATTCCCTTCTGCGACTTCCTCTTTTCTGAGATTTCTCCTAATTTACAGCTACTCTAGCAGTCCTGAATTCTGTCCTCTCACACCTCAAACCTGTCATATTGTACCTTTCTAACTAGGGAGTGCCCTCTGGGGGAAAAACCATATAAACATGGTTCTCACCCAATGAGATCTTTCAACTGAGTCCATCCAGTTCCTGCCTTCTTTTGTTTACTCTTCAGTGTTTCCAAAAAGATTTTTTTCCCTTTTTAAATGAGTCAATCTACTGGAAAGCTAATATAATAAAAGCTCCTCTGCCATGACCTGCCTAGGAACCTTGTCTTGATTGTAGTTAACATGTGTTATGTGTAGTCTTTCTGTTTATTAGATAAGGAGGTTGTGGGTGTTACTTTTGGTTTTGAGAAACTAAAAGGGAGAGTTCCTGAAAATAGTTTAGGTGGAAAGAGTAAGTTTTTGGAATATGGACTTCTGTATTAGCCCATTCTCATGCTGCGAGCAAAGACACACCCGAGACTGGGTAATTTATAAAGGAAAGAGGTTTAATCGACGCATAGTTCCACATGGCTGGGGAGGCCTCACAATCATGGCAGAAGGTGAAGGAGGAGCAAAGTCACATTTTACATGGTGGCAGGCAAAGAGAATGCTTATGCAGGACAGCTCCCATTTATAAAACAATTGGCTCTCGTGAGACTTATTCACTACCAGGAGAACAGTATGGGAAGACCCGCCCATATGAATCAGTTACGTCCCACTGAGTCCCTCCCATGACACCTGGGAATTATGGGAGCTAAAATTCAAGATGAGATTTGGTTGGGGACACAGCCAAACCATATCAACTTCTAATATAGTCCTTTAACAAAGTCTGTCATAGTGTTTGTTATTAAATGCAAAGACAACTTGAGGGTACCTTGTGTGAAAAAAATGGTATCAAGAAACACAAAAGTGATCTACTCCAGACAAAATGAACTCACCTAATGGGGGCTAACTAATGCAAAGTACAATGTGATTATCACTGAGGAGAAATATAAGAGCTAGGGTGTTTACATGAGAATAGAAATCACATCTGGCTGAAGGGACAAAGACATACTTCATGGAGAAACTCACATTGGAAATTATTCGTATGGAAACCTGTGGAGACACTACAGAAAGCATTTCAGGCAGAATAATGTGATGCAAACAAATTACACAGTAAACTACCATATAGTTGAGAAGCAGGGGGTGACAGTGGCCAACACTTATGAAGTGCTGTGTGACAGGCACCAGTCTAAATATTGAACATGAATTTATTTAAGCCTCATAGAGATGCCCTAAGGCAAATGCTATTATGATCCCCATTTTTACTGACAAGGAAAATAAGTCATAGGGAATTGAAACAGTTCACAAACAAGAAGTGTGGCTCCAGAACATGCCCTGTTAACCAGGGTGCTATACTGATTCCTGCTAAACTTGCATCATCTGATGACCTGTGCATCCAAAGAACTGAGGTTATTTTTAGGAAGAAAGTAAGAACAGTGCTCTGCTTTATACAGTGAGGAGCAAGGAAATCACATGCCCCACACACAGACCCACAGATAAATGGGTGTGGAGAGAAAAATAGTTATTTAGAGATGATAGCCAGGTTTCAGTTAAAACCAGAAGAATGGCTCTGTGAGACAGGCCCTCCACTCTTCTGTAGATCCTGTTGTAAGTGATGCAGAAGCCAGAGAGAAGGTTGCTCTCCATCAGAAACATGAGGATTTTGGGAGACCTCCCTAAAATATTTGGCCTGAAAGAGTTTGAAGCCAGGAGGAGAGATGCAGTGTTAGGAGAAACGTTTCATGAGCTGTAACAGGTACACTATCAGTCTTTCTCAGTGAGTACTGTTCTATGTAACTTTTATATTTTCCTTGCAACCCTATCACTCTCCAAAGGTCTAGTGAAGAAATCAAATTTAGATGAAGAAACCTAGCTTGACCTAGAATCTTCACTCTGTGTGTGTGTGTGTGTGTGTGTGTGTGTGTAATGTATACACTGGGTCTTTGGGCCAGATACATTGTAAGGTTTCAGAGGTATAAACAGGCCCTGGGCTGTGGAGAGCCATGGGAAGGGATGATCTTGATCTAAGTCAGTAGTTTTTAGCCACATCTAGAAATCTGTGTCTTGGTCATAAATTTTGTTCTTTGAAATGCAGGGAAATGTATCATAAAATGCAGTAAATGCAAGGAAAAAGTAACACATTAAAGCTAATTGGTCATTAATATTTTAAGAGCATATGGGAATGTCATATTCTGTTCCCTCAGCTCTCCAACCATATCCCCCACACATACCCCACACACTGCCTATCTGCACATAAGCACAAGTATTTCTGGGGATTGTAAGCATGAGAACTTTAGGGGTATTGCTAGGAAAAGAAGGAAGAGAGTAAGTAGGAAGACTGAAGACAGAGAAAGGAACCACCAGAAAACGTAGAGAAAAAGAGAGGAATCCTTTCTTCACATACCAATGACTCTAAGAATACCTTTCTCCATTAAAATATCTCATCCAGGAGGCACATTGGAATGAAATACATGTGGAATACTGTATTTGAAAAGACAGAAGAATATAATAGGATCTGAGTTGAAAGACCATGCTTATCTCTTCACATAAAACTTTATAAATTTTTATAAATTTACAGTGATGTTCTTTAGTTGGGGTAACTGTGATGGGCAACATTGAAACCCTTTATGCCAATTTTGTTTTCAAAATGCATTGTCCTAAATTACCCCTCAAGGTGGCACTCTTGGACATCTTTTCCAGTTATTAGTCTGACAGGAACTTTGTACCACTTTACTTACCTTCATAATGTCACAGATGCTAGTGATTTTTTTCATTGTTTTACAAAAAAATGCATTCTTTGAACATTTTTAGCTTTAAGCAAATATATACTTGTTTTTGTCATTGAGCATTTTGAAAACATGTAGTTAGTAGAAGCTTGAAGCAGATAATCATAGCTGCATTCCATTCCCCATAATTAAGAATATGTAGGGCCAGGCGCGGTGGCTCACACCTGTAATCCCAGCACTTTGGGAGGCTGAGGCGGGCAGATCACGAGGTCAGGAGATCAAGACCATCCTGGCTAACACGGTGAAACCCTGTCTCTACTAAAAATACAAAAAACTAGCCGGGCGAAGTGGCGGGCGCCTGTAGTCCCAGCTACCTGGGAGGCTGAGGCAGGAGAATGGCGTGAACCCGGAAGGCGGAGCTAGCAGTGAGCCGAGATCGTGCCACTGCACTCCAGCCTGGGCGACAGAGTGAGACTCCGTCTCAAAAAAAAAAAAAAAAAAAAAAAAAGGAATATGTAGAAACCTGATATTTTCTCTTTCTTTCCAACTGGAATACCAATCAAACCTGGAATTTATAGTTTTAATAAATGTAGAATTTGTTTTATATATATATAGTAATAAAAATATAGTAATATATAGAGAGAGTAATAAAAGGCTTCCAAAAGCTTTTGTATGGGAAATTCTTGTTTCCGTTAATCAGGCCATTAGAAAAGCAGCCTGCCATTCTCTGACAGCTGTGCTATAGAGCAGGTTACTTGATAAGGAATGAAAGCAAAGTGATTCTATTTGTTGTATAACGTGAGTGACACAGAAGGTAAATTGTGTTAAATAGTCATGGATTTTAGCTTTCTGAAAGCAATGCAATTTGGAAGTTTCTCCAAATCTCCAAATGGTTTTGCGTTACATATAATACAACTTGACACCTAGCTTTTGATGTTTGAATTATGTGTAGCTAGAAAGTTGATAGAGGATGGATCTTTTCTGTTTTATAATGTTTGGTATTATACTGGATCTTTCCTTGTGTTAATTTTTTCCTTCATTAATATATGAAAAATTCTGTGAACTACTGAATATCCAATGAAATTTTCTCAGTCTCAAAAGACAAATAATACAATTTGGAAGACTGTAAATTTGTTTGCATGTAATCTGAATCTCTAGATATACTCTGCTATTTTTTTTTTTTTTTCAGAAAATTCTGAGTTAAATGTTTATCATTATAATGTCAGAGGATTAACTTAATATTTCTATCTTCCAAATCCAGTTTTCCTCCATCAGGAACAAATTTTCATCAAATCGAAATAGTAGTGTAGTTTTTGGAAGAAAACTAGCTTATTATGAAAAATAATTAGCAGTCATCTAAGAAAAAAATTCTAATCAAATTTGGCCTTCATATTTTTTAACCGTTTTGTAATTTGGGCTTAGTATTTGATAAGGGTAAGTTAACCAAGATCAAAACCTTTAAAATATTCAAATTGATAACTATTTTATAATTATTGAAATAACTTTTCTCTAATAAATAAAGGAGAAATACATTGAACAAAATAAAAACCAACCAACTTTCTGCTACACACTAAATTCTGATAGACTGTCTTTGTCTAAGATAGCAAGGCAGCTATAAATACAGAACACTTGAGCTACAGTCAGAATACCTGGATTCAAGTCCTGGCTCTGCCATTAACATGCTGTGTGAACCTAGGAAGGTGAAC